ACTTGTGCTCCGTCGGCGAGGAATTCTTATAGAGCGACCGACCAGACCAAGGTCTGATATATATCAAATTACGCAAGGAGTAAACTTAAGTTTCTTTCAATAAATTTTTGTTTCTTCTTTTTTTTAGTTACAGGTTGACTTAAAACCATTCCTTTTCTCTACCACATGTTCTTAATTTTAAAAAATATATACCACAATGTAAGGTAAAATGAAAAAGTAAAATGTCGCTTGCATTTTCCCTAGAAATTTAATGGAGGTCTTGCAATCCCCGGTCCATTACGAGTTCTTTAAGAGGTTCATGATGGGGAACAAGACCGTCCACCCTCTGTTGTTCTGGAAGTACGTGGAGGATCTGAAAGAGGCCCAGTCTGCCAGACACCGGAATCACCTCATCTCCGTCATATACAGGAAATTCTTCAGCAAAAGCGCTAAGCAAGGTCCGTCTTCTCTTTGTTTTCATATGATTGTTGCAAGACAGCTTTTGTTTACCTTATTTGAAGAATATGGTAAACAATGCAAGATTCCAAAAGTTCTCTTAGGTTTAGGTTACTTGCTGAACAGTAAATTCTATAACGTTTAGGTTACTTGCTAGACTGTAAATGCTCTCATGTTAAGATTATTTGTTTGACTGTAAATTCTCTTATGTTTAGGTTACTTGCTGGACTGGAAATTCTCTTAGGTGGACATTAAATTCTCCAACGTTTAGGTTACTTAATAATTGGTAAATTCTCTTACGTTTAGGTTTCTTTTTTCTTGCGTTTACGCTACTTGTTAAGACTGTAAATTCTCAAACGTTTAGGCTACTTCTTAGACTGTAAATTCTCAAACGTTTAGGCTACTTCTTAGACTGTAAATTCTCAAACGTTTAGGCTACTTCTTAGACTGTAAATTCTCAAACGTTTAGGCTACTTATTGGACTGTAAATTCTCAAACGTTTAGGCTACTTGTTGAACTGTAAATTCTCAAACGTTTATGTTACTTGTTGAACTGTAAATTCTCAAACGTTTAGGCTACTTGTTGGACTGTAAATTCTCAAACGTTTAGGCTACTTCTTAGACTGTAAATTCTCAAACGTTTAGGCTACTTCTTAGACTTTAAATTCTCAAACGTTTAGGCTACTTCTTAGACTGTAAATTCTCAAACGTTTAGGCTACTTCTTAGACTGTAAATTCTCAAACGTTTAGGCTACTTGTTGGACTGTAAATTCTCAAACGTGTAGGCTACTTCTTAGACTGCAAATTCTCAAACGTTTATGTTACTTGTTAGACTGTAAATTCTAAAACGTTTATGTTACTTGTTGAACTGTAAATTCTCAAACGTTTAGACTACTTGTTGGACTGTAAATTCTCAAACGTGTAGGTTACTTCTTAGACTGTAAATTCTCAAACGTTTATGTTACTTGTTGAACTGTAAATTCTCAAACGTTTATGTTACTTGTTGGACTGTAAATTCTCAAACGTTTATGTTACTTGATGAACTGTAAATTCTCAAACGTTTAGGCTACTTCTTAGACTGTAAATTCTCAAACGTTTATGTTACTTGTTGAACTGTAAATTCTCAAACGTTTAGGCTACTTGTTAGACCGCAAATTCTCTTACGTTAGGTTATTTTTTGGACTATAAATTTTCTTATTATATGTTTAGATAAATTTTTGGACTGTTAATTATCTTACGTTAAGGTTACTTTTGGGATTTTGAATTCTCTTATGTTAAGTTACCTGTTGGACTGTTATTCTCTGATGATTAGGTTACTTGTTGGACTGTTGATTCTCTTGTTTGTATTACCTGTTGGACTGTTAATTCCCTTACGTTTAGGTTACCTGTTGGACTGTAGTGACGACATCATCCGTCAGATTCCTACCATGGAGAGAATTCCAACCAGTGTCCTTATCTGTGCCCAGGCCAGCGTCTTCCGCGCCATGGAGAGAAAATGGTAAAACAGGGGGTCAACTTACAACCCCATTTCATTTAAGAAAATAAAATCACAGTCAAAGTTTTCTTTCAGTATACATGTGCACATACCTACATGTATAAAAATAAACAAATGTCCAATTATTTATTTGATGACCCCCGGTTTAAGATTGCTTGCTGTCTAACCTGCGTAGGTTCCCCCGATATATGGAGACATACCCAGTTGACGCGGATTACCCACCTCCGGAGCATACAGAGACTAGCTTAGTGCCATCGCCAACATTTGCTGATCTCACTGAAGAGCTGGTCATCAACAAAGAGGCTCTAGCCAATAAAAAGAAATCGCCGAAGAAACGGAAAACGGTAATTACGCAAGACAACGTAAAGCATTGCTGTGTTTTCCATCTAATTTAACCTTACAGATTTGGGTTCCTTCCTTATGTTTTGAGTGTCAATCAATCAATCAGAGGAGGAGGAATCACACTGTCGCACAGTCAACTAGATGCGAACCTTCCTAAATCTGTCAAAGACCTTATGTCATACCTAATACGCAAGTTTCATTGCGATGCTCTTCAAGTATGATTGTGAGCATTGACAGTGTCAAAACAATTCTTCCAAGCAAATCAAAAATGTAGGTAGAGGGCATTTTGGAAGAATTTTCAGCATTTATTTTTTCAGCATAACACCATTGATCAACTAAAAAAAAAGCAGATACAGATGTACATAAAATATGATTGCAGTTGGGTCAAACGTTAGGTGGAAATGCAGTTTAAAAAATTTATTGATAAATATTATACCATGTATATAGTAAATGTTTTAATGTTTTATGCAGTTACATTTATGGCATGGATTTGTACATCTGATTATGGACTTCATGGATGCCCTAAGGGACGAGTACGAATTCAAACTCCTGGAGCTCTACCTCCGCAACGAACAGGAGAAGGACACCAAGCAAAAAAGTACCAAGACCTCCTAATAAGTTACCTACATATGAATCGACATGATTAGAAATATTTTATTTCATATTTTTGTGTAAATGACAGTTATGCTGTAGAGGATTTACGTTGGTTTTATATTTCCAGAGATGGCCGAGAAGTCGATGCTGACGTCCAGCACTATAGCATCCTTCCAGACGCGGGTCGTTCTACGGAATCGGCTCGTTATCGTCAACAAACTAGTGGCGGATCTAAACTTCTGGAACGAAGTGCAAAAGTACTAAACAAGTTTTTTTTATCACAACAATATTTTATTGAGCTCAATTCAAATAAAATTTGAGGGAAATGTAAATGTACACTTTACACGTTAACGTTTCTTTTAATTCATCCAAAGTTCGTTGACTGACAGTGTTTTGATGCTTTACGACCTGAGTGAGGGGAGACTTTCGTTTATAAAACAGCCTATTTAACTTTGTTACTTGTCACGAAAAAAGTGTTTAAGGGCAATGTAATCTGTCATACCAGTGTACTTCAAAACTTAAACATCGGGAATTAACCTTGTCAACAGAGTTATCTTGTCAACAATCACTGTTCTGTGTATTACAAAAATAAATCAATCATATAAATTATTAACAAGATTATCTTATTGTAATAAAAGGTTCAAAAAGCATATTGATGAGATAAGTACCCGAGATAACATAACCAAAGAAGACGTGGAGTTTCTGCAGCTGAAGGCCAAGTCTATCATAGACTGTTATCTGATATCGGAGGTTTTACCGCGAGTACAGGTTAGCGACATCTACATGTACAACATGCTTTTACAAATAGAAACACATGTACAAAATAAGATTAATGCTATCTGAAATATAATACACTGCATCTACACACTTCTTTCACAAAACACGTCTTGCTAAAATGAGTCGATATATATATACTATAGGTAAACATTCCGAGTGACCTGGCGACAAGCATTGCAGTTTCTCTCACCCAGTCGGGACCAACCAGAGGGCTGTTTCACGACGCCATGATTCTGATTTTCCCCCTTCTCTATTACTTCTGGAGAAGGTTGGTAAATTTTCTGTGATTTTAAGTAAGAATCGGAGAGCACTTGGTCGTCCATTATTGAGTATACCATTTAACATCTAATTTTTTTAAGGTTTCGGGATGAATGGTTAAAGGGTCATGATCCCAAAGATTTTTACTTTCGCCTTAAGGAGAAAATGACAGTTCCATGGGTTTCATCTACTCCTCATAAAGATCAAAGTGGTCCGAATTACCTAAATGTCCGAGAATCACAATGCCAAATGATGGCAGTGCATCTTCACGGTAAAGTTATTTTTCAACCCACCCCCCCCTTCCTGGGTAAGGCTGAAATTTGGTTACTGTTACAGTTGTGCTCTAACCTCCCTCCCCTTTTTGACAAGGTCGACAGTTTAACTAATTTCTGTCCTTATTTTTTTTTCATTATAGAAGACGAACCTTTTCGAATAAATTTTTCCATAATGGGAGGAATTCGCTACATGTTCACTAACAGACCAGCTACAAAAGGTGTAACCGTGCCAACAGTTGAACAGAACGCAAGGAGACAGCAGCAGATGCGACGGTCCCGCAGGGATAGCGTTAACCGCGTACATAAAACACACACTGAAGAAACTGCTCACGGCGAACGCAGACTCTCAAAGGTCGATATGAGGAAGAAAAGTAAAATTATCCTTGAAGATGAAGAGAGTGTTCGAAACTTGGACGAAGGTGATGCAGAGGTGAAATCTGAGAAAAGTCAGGAAATACAAAAGGCTGAGGGATCGACAGAGTCGTCTGCTACCACACTCTCTCCGCGGCGCAGACGACAGTCCACAGCACCCATAGTACAGCGGGAAAAAGCCTTCAGACTAAGTCAGCTTGTAGAGGAACTGAATACAGAGAGTGATAGGCCTATAGCCCAACGTTTACGCACACTGGATCAAGTCGTGCGGGCTGCTCTTACAACACAAACCCGGTCTCAGTTTACAGACGACAGTCCAGGCTCTGTTACATCTTTACTGATTTAAATCTAGATTGTAAATTAGATTAAAACTGGTGCCTATGTACCGGGTATTTGAAAGTTTTATTTTTTTAAAAGATAAATTCTGATATTGGGAACAACAGACGGTTTCCATAATTTTGGGACACATTCTATGCATATTTAATAAATTATGAGATTTAACAGTCACACAGTGGATATCTAAAAACGTCAAAAATCAATAATTATATTTTTAAAAAAAGTTCAATTAGTTCCTCCCACACACACTCATAGCCATGATCATTGACCTTATTTCTTGCTCCTAAAATTGACAAACTTGTCCACAACAAATAAAAGTATAGAGCCATTATTACTCTTTCCCTCCATGTACAGATAATCCATGAACACATTTATAATTTTTTGACTCTAAACTTACTCATTACACACATATCACATGCTGTACTCACTGCATAACCAATAATGGAATTCTTTCCTCTGTCATTTGAGCTTTTCAGTCTATGTAATACTGTCATGAGTAGATATCACACTTTCATTTTCCTCTCAGTCTCTTGTAACACAAGCATACATGTAACCACTTATCACATATTAACACAGATTTTCAACATCCCCTGGTGACTATGCTTCTCCCTTGGCCATTCTAGCTCGGTATTCTCTCATCTTCATTTTGTCATTTTCCATGCTTTCTATTCTACGATTTATTCTCTGATATGAAAAAAAAAATTATTGAAAATATTTTTTTAGTTTAGCACATGGGAAAAAAAAAATTGTAACTGCCCACCACCAACTACTAGTCAGCAAATATACATTGATGATGTATGATAAAATCATATTATCCAAATTTGATACTTTTTGATTCAGTTTTCTAATACGTAGCTAAATGATATGCACCTACTGTGTAGATTTATATATATAGGATCTCCCATGATTTGTAGTTGGATGTAATTTTATCCAACAAGTTGTGTGCATTTTTTTTTTTATTCCCGAGCCTTGGTGAGGGGATAAAAACACAAGCTCGATAAAAGTCATATCCAACTACAAATCATGGGAGTTTTTTTTTATCCCATGTTTAATACTTCACAGCCAAATTTTTACACTGTTTTTATATAGGACTCCACTTTATTTTACTTCATCACGCTTATGCAAAAAATCACAACTGCACTTAACTGTGGGATATCAAAAAAAATCTAATGTGTCATATCTATGGGATACAGTGGTAAACATTGGATTAAATTTAACTTTACAAACAAAAAAAACATATCAATATTGAACATTACCTCCTTCCTCAAACATTTCTGTACTTCTGAAAACAAAGGATCACAGTAACCAACATATTTCAGGACACCATGCTGCAAGAAAAGAAAATACACTGGAATTAAATTAAATGCACACCGTCACACATATAAATGGCATACCCTGGTTATTTTGACAAAGGGGTTAATTTATCTAGATTGACTGGCATTGTACAAAGGTAGGCAAGTAAAATTTTATACCTTTTCTGTCAGTGACCTTGATTTGAAATTGCCAGTATGACCTTGAATCAAGATCATTACACACAAGGTCATCAATTTTTGTAATGAAGATTATAACAAAGTTATTAAGGCCAAAAAAAATTAATGAATAGTATCTCAGGCACCGCCTCATCAGTTCAAAAATGGCAGCACTGATCAATTTTATTGACGTATTTGTCACAAGTGACATTGTGTCAATGTTTTATATTAGCTTATTGTACAGGTATTGGTAAGAGTTATCGTTTATTTCATTTACGCACTATTGGTCACTGAGTTGTACTTGTTGCTATTTTTATCAACGTATACTCGTCGAACCCGTTTGAGTAGTTTGGTCAGTTATTTATACTGGGTGTTGGCTAGTGTTTGTCAGAAGAGGTCTGGACGTCGTGAGTTATACTTTACCCATGCTTAGTGATCTTGGGTGTGCCTTTATATAACCCATGCTGTGTGAACTTGGGTGTGTTCTAGCTGTTTCCCCTGCTCTGTGATCTTGGGATTCAGGGATGTTTTGTAGCGGCGTTGAGAGCAAGACCTGGGGGCCGACAGTATAATTTTAATGTGTAAAATGCCACAGCTCAGTAAGTTTTTATACTTTACAATATTTTTGTTATTAGCTTTAAAGAGCAATATTCGATGTAAAACGGTTAGCAATATAGCGAGAATGTATATATTTACGCTCTAATTCATTTACTTGTTAAACGGCAAAAATACATGTTTTCTTTTGTTATTTGTTTGTAAAATCTAGTATATTGAACAGATATGTATTTTGAATATTTGATTAGAAAACCCTATGAAAATTGTAGGTGACCAAAATTGTATATTAGCTTTATTTGGACGGGAGGATTTATTTACGTGGTAAGGCTACTTGGATATGGTGGACCGGACGGGACACTATGGTGGACCACAGGGACAATATGGTGGACCATGGACGTGGTGTGGAGTGTGAATTTGTCCAGTGATGACCATGATTGAACTTTTGGCCGGTTTCATGTTTATTGTACATATGTAGATAAATTTATTGTTAATTTTTATAAATCTTGTTGTTTCTTGGTACACAGGAGGTCTTCCAAAATATTATTTATTTTGGTTAGTAAATTCTATAAAGAATCCATCACAACTTGAGGTCAGTTGTGACATTTTTGGTGGCAGCGGTGGGATAGACTTCCTGTTACCAAGTATACCTGCATTATTTTCACGGTTTGTAGAAAAGGCTTTAGTTGAAAAAGATTTCTATTGTTTGAATTATTTTTTTCGCAGGTTTTGTACAAAATATTTTTGTTCATATGCATTTTGTCATTTTCTTATTTTCACATTTGTTGTTTGTTGTTGCGTTGCATATTGTAACCATGGAGTATTTACAATTAGGAGAAAAGTTAGGTTTGCAAGGAACTGAGTTACAAGAGTTTGTTGACAGAAAAGAGAGAGAATATTTTGAAAGGGCGGAAAGGGCAGCAGAGAGAGAAGCGAGAAAGATTGAGAGCGAAATTGAATTAGAAAAACTTAAGAAAGAAACTGAATTACAAAAATTAAAAGCTGGAGAACTAGCTGTAGGTCCACTGGGTCTTGCTTCTCAATCGCTTGCTAAGTTGCCAAAGTTACCTCCATTTGATGAATCTAAAGATTGTATTGATTCATATTTACAGAGATTCGAAAGGTTTGCTTCATGTGCTAAGTGGGAACAGTCTTCATGGGCGATTAATCTTAGTGCTCTCCTGAAAGGTAAAGCTCTTGAGGTTTATTCTAGACTTCCAGTTTCAGAGGCTTTGAATTATGGGTCCTTGAAGCAATCGTTGTTAAGGCGTTTTCAACTAACGGAAGAAGGGTTTCGTGTCAAATTCCGTTCCAGCAGACCAGAACAGGGTGAGAATCCTTCACAATTCTTTGCTAGGCTGAACAATTATGTAGAGAAATGGTTGTCTTTAGCAGATAGTCCTAAAACATATGACGGTCTTAAAGATTTGTGTTTAAGAGAACAGTTTTTAAACAGTTGTAGTAAGCAGTTGGGAATGTATCTCAAAGAAAGACATCCGAAAAATGTAGAAGAAATGTCAAATCTCGCAGACCAATTTATTGAAGCTCATGGTTATACTTCATTCACTAAAGACTTTCAAGTTTTTCAGAAGCAACCATCAAGCACTTCTAGCGTTCAGAGTAACAGCAGTGGATCCATTCAAAAGCAACAGATGTACCAAGGATCACTACAGCAAAAAGGTGAAAGAAAATGTTACATATGTGGGAAAAGTGGACATTTGGCAAGAAACTGTTTCTCCAAGCAGAAGATTCCTCGAGCAGTACCTACTTCACACAATACTCAAAAGGCTGCAATGTTACAGAGTCAACATAACTGTGAGTTGAATTGCATAAAATCTAATGACAATTCTAGTTCCAACTTACAGAATTCTGCTGAAGTCAGGATGGACAACGCAATATCGCATCAAAATCAGCCTCACATAGGATCAGCATGCATTCCCCAACATAAACTGTTGCAGTGTTGTGTCACAGATGGACTTGTTAAACTTGCATGTGGACACGTATTACCTGTTATTGGAGGTGTCTGTAAGGTTTGTGAAAAGATGCCCGTTGCTATGGGTTATGTTGGTGAGAACTTTGTTAAAGTGTTAAGAGACTCAGGTTGTAGTGGTGTTGTTGTGAAGAGAGACTTGGTTACAGATGATCAGCTGACTGGACAAGTGCAGAGATGTGTTCTGATAGACGGCACAGTTCGTACAGTAGAGGAGGCTTCCATCTATGTCGACACTCCCTATTTCACAGGTAATATCAATGCTCTATGTATGAAAGAACCTGTTTATGATCTTATTATAGGTAACATCGATGGTGCTAGAAATCAGACGGATCCTGATCCACAGTGGTGTAGAAAGGACGAAAGAGAAGAGTGTAGTCAATTTCTTCAAGCAGTACAGACAAGAAATCAAAAGAAAAAAGAAGACAAAGGTATGAAAAAGCTAAATGTTACAGATTTAGTGGATACTGATATGACAATTGATCAGATGAAGCAACTGCAGATGGACGATTCTTCCCTGAAAGTGTATCGTGAGCATGCAGCGACTGGCAGAAAGAAGAACATAGGTGAAAATATAGAGACATGGTTTAGTGTTGAAAGAGGACTGTTGTACAGACATTATCATTCAAAAAAGGTTAGTGATCAAAAACTGTATAAACAACTTGTTGTTCCAGAACCTTTGCGACAGAAAGTTATGAAGATTGCGCACGACAGTATCCTAGGCGGACATCTTGGTACAAAGAAGACTCTAGACCGCATCATGTCGAATTTCTATTGGCCTGGAATCCAGGGTGACGTGACGAGATATTGCCAATCATGTGACATATGCCAAAGAACATTTCCTAAGGGCAAAGTGACGAAGATTCCGTTGGAGAAAATGCCACTTATTGATACACCATTTGAACGGGTAGCCGTAGATTTGGTAGGTCCGCTTTCTCCAATTACTGACAAAGGCAATAGATACATTTTGACTGTTGTAGATTACAGTACTAGGTATCCAGAGGCGGTTGCATTGAAGAACATCGATACAGAGACGGTGGCAGAAGCGTTGGTAGAGATATTCAGCAGAGTTGGCATTCCAAAAGAAGTACTGTCAGACATGGGTACGCAATTTACCTCCAACATTATGAAAGAGGTGGGTCGACTTTTATCATTTAAGCAATTAGTAACAACTCCATACCATCCAGCATGTAATGGACTAGTAGAAAAGTTTAATGGTACTTTGAAGTCAATGTTAAGGAAATGAGTTCTGAAAGACCAAAAGACTGGGATAGATATTTACCAGCATTGTTATTTGCTTATCGAGAAGTACCACAAGAAAGCACTAAATTTTCTCCATTTGATCTAGTTTATGCACGTAATGTTAGGGGACCTATGGCAGTTTTGAAAGGAACTGTGGACAAAGGAGGAGAAGGACCCGGAAGTGAAAACTACTTACCAGTATGTGCTTGACCTTAAGGAGCGACTAGCAAGAACGTGTGAGCTGGCTCAGAGAGAACTTCAGAAGTCCAAAGACCATTACAAGAAACAGTATGATAAAAGGACAAAGCCGAGATCTTTCAAGGTTGGTGATTTCGTTCTTCTTTTGCTTCCAACAGACCATAACAAACTTTTAATGCAGTGGAAAGGACCTTTCAAAGTAGTTGATAGAAAAGGACAAACTGATTACCAGATAGATATGAATGGACATATTCGTTTGTTTCATGCAAATTTATTGAAGAAATACAATGTTCGAGAGGAAAGGAATACAGACTCGCCAACAACTTTAGCGTCTTGTGTTGTTTTGGAATCGGAAGAAACAGAGGACTCAAGTAATGAACATTTGTTACATCTTCTTCCAATGAAAGCAACAGAATCATTCACAGATGTCAAGGTAAATCATTCACTGTCATCAGATCAGCTTGAAAACATAAATGATGTTTTACATGAATTTCAGGAAGTTTTAACAGATCTACCTGGTAGAACGAATGTTATCCAGCATGAAGTTCATCTCACTACCAAAGAACCAATCAGAAACAGACCATATCAGATACCGTATGCAGTCAGAAGTGCAGTCCGAGAAGAAATACAGCATATGATTGACATGGATATCATCGAACCATCAGAATCACCGTATGCTAGTTCGATTGTCGTGGCAAAGAAGTCCGATGGTAGCCAGAGAATATGTGTGGATTTTCGTAACTTGAACAAGGTAACGATTTTTGATCCAGAACCAATGCCAGATCCAGATGAAATCATGACTAAAATTAGTAACAGTCGTTTCTTTTCTAAACTTGATTTATGTAAGGGATATTGGCAGATTCCAATGAGAGAAGAAGATAGAGACTTAACATCATTTTTAACACCAGATGGTTTGTACAGATTTAAAGTAATGCCCTTCGGTATGAAAAATAGCCAAGCTACTTTTAATAGACTCATGCGGA